GAAAGAACCACTATCTACTATTTACTGGCTAACTCTAATTCATCCCAGTAAGTGTAAGCAACATGAAATTCGTGCGTGGCCTGTTCTTTCCTGACTCGTGTACATGCGCTTAACTGACACGCAAACTTTTCATAGTGAACTGGACTGCGGTCTAGTCAGGCCAACTCTGATTTAGGCACTTATATGGTGGACTCCGCCTTCCTTTTTATCAGCTGCTGAATCTCAATATTTTTGAAAAAGCCACCTTATAATCTTTCTAGTGGCACTGGCGGTATTTTTCAACTTACCGTGACATTCTGTAAATTTGGGTCTATAATTCATAGCTATATAAAAACATTGAAACTCGGGTTGGTGGAAATCAAAAAGATCAAAATCATGTTAAAAAAAATAAGCGTCTAGGTTTTGTAAGGTTCAAGGCGAAGATAACGAGGTCTTACCTGATTCTGTCGCAATACTGAACTTTTGGCCGTACCCTACCCACAGCTTCCTTCTTTTATTCATCATGGATGAGCCGCTTCAGAATGCTGTTAGTGACCGTTTTTAGCACACAGTCTGTCCATTGTAACATGCAGTACATCAGGGTAAACTCAATTCTGTTTATCTTGATTCCTTTGAGAACCTCATTGTTTGGTACTTGATCGAGTTCGAAGGATACTATGCGGGTGTTATATATGAATTCTGCAAGTATTTCAACAAACAGTTGTTAGAATGTTGTCTTGAAGTAGAGAAGACAATACAACAATCGGACAGACTGTTACCCTGGGGCCTATACTCATATTCTTCTAAAGGAGTTTATGCAAGTGCTTGGATTTAGCCATTTTTGGTCATTCAAGCACCCATTTCAGTATTTATCGGCAAATTTTGTCAGAGCTCTAACGAGGAAGCAAAGAGTTTTAGAGCATGCCATGCTTCAAGCATTGTTACGGTGGATCCGGGACAGAGGAACAAAGGATGAGTGTTTTAAATGCGTCCTAATTACCGCAAAATGGTTACCCACCGATTTGGATGCCAGATATACCGTTTGTATATATATGTCCAACTCTCTCTAACCTCTCCCCTTCTAATCGTCAATTTTCAGTTGTGAAACTGGGGAAACTTTGCATGACTTCCACTCTTAGCCACAAAGCTGTTCAGAAGACAACCATTTTTCTCATGTCTGGGTAATTCTAAGGGACTCAGCTCTGATACATTGTGTTGGTCTTCGATTTCTGAGAAGTACTTACTTCACCCTTTAGCCCTACTCATTATCGATGAACTTTGATGGAATGATTGGCCTTGGCTTCATGTATAGTTGCTCACAAAGATCATCTTCGGGGAGCGCACGAAACGATCATTGTCTGGGCTTAGTCTCTACACAGTCACTGAATATATTTTTCGCTATAGGCCGTGGGGCTGACTTTATTTTGTTGTGTACAAACATTTGATTTGATATCGTGCGCTCGTATAATAACGTGAACCTAAAGGTACAGTTGCACAACGTGAAGATAACAGAAATTAAGGTTAGAACAACCAATCAAAACGTTCGCTGGGCCTCGATTCGTTGGTCTCAAGGACCACGATTTTAAAGTAAATGTTGTCTTGCGTAAAAAGTTAACATTAAGCATCTATCTGAAAGGTACACCCAGATGTTGCTTCAAATCATCATAAGACTGTATGACCTACCTCTCCCTTAATATCGAATTTCGGCTGCCTATACCAATGCTTGTCTGTATGCGTTGTAAAGTAGTTTCATCCGTTTCAGAGGGGTTTGGTAAACAATCGGTGTTTACCAAACCCCTCTTTCAAAAACGATTCCAACCAATAATTTTCTAAGTAGGATGCGAAACTTTTACTTCTCAGTTACGAATATAAGTTCAGCAAATCAATTAATTTACACTTAGTTGTGATGTCTCACTAATTGTTCGAAAGTCCAGGTTACTATTGTGACATAATACTGACTGATTCTTACAATGGTAACTTCTCAGTGGAAGACTAGTGTACTTCGTGATATGCCTTGGAGCCTTTGAGCCCATTATTCATATGATATACGCAGTAGCGGCAGAGTTTCGGTAGTTTGTTTACTAACCTCGTTCTGTAGGGTCTGAGTCTTGGAGACACTTTTAGCTTCGAATTTCCTTATTGGACAAACACGAAAACAGTTGATTATGCACAGGTGTGTTCAAAACACAGACATCTCTCTCTTACCTCCGTTCCTAGGTTGAAAAACTGCGCAGTATGGAATGTTGTGAACAAAGCCTGGATGAACATCAACTGAACAGAAAGTAGTCCAAAACTTGGTGAAGATTTTGACGGTTTTCCCCGAAAATTGACTACGTGTGATGTGGATGATACTGTACAGTTTATTAATAATCATTCTTTGTCCTTGACATTGATATTGATGGTATCCTCTCCAGTCTAGATACGTGCGTAAGTACAAACTAGACGTATTTACAGACTGGCTAAAGTGTGATTTCATTTGTTCCATCTGAACAGTCTATCGATCAATCGATAATCTATTCGTGTGGTCAAACTCCGAGTAATTCGAAACTGCGAAAACCATGAAGCTTGCCTAGGCATTGATTCGGATACCATAGAAACCAATGAAAAACAGGTATAAAAATGTAGTCACACAATGGTCACATTGGTTAATCTGATGGGGCTCCAGATCACCTGAAGAATGCACGCGGATCTGAAGTTTGTCTGTCTACTATCATTATTCATCCATCTTTCTGCTGGCAAGCACCAAATTCACGTTACACCGAACCACGAATGGACTGAAGCCACAAATGAATTCACCAAGAGAGCACAAAACTGGTCCTCTACGATAAAACAGTTTATTGAAGGCGTACAACGTAGGAAACAGTTATCAATGTATGATATTCAGGCTGTTTATAGTCGGTGCGCCGGTCCAAAGCATTTGGATGCCACAATCTTTGAGGATAACCCATTTATTATCCCACAAACCACTTACTGCTCTGAAAGACCACAGCTGAAGTTACTGATTGTGGTACATTCTCATCCTGCGAATCACCACCGACGCGACCTGGTTCGTTCAACGTGGGGCTCACTAAGACGTGTTGGTCCTGAGAAAATTGGAGTTCTGTTCTTTCTTGGAAGTTCAGAAAAGACTCAGAAAGCAGTTAAGGAGGAGGCTGAAACCTATCGGTATGTTAATACTCTTGGTAAATCTGATTGTGCAAATCTGTGAACCTGCGGCGGTGGCGCTGGTTGCCGCCAGCAATGGTTCTGTGTCCACTACTCAGCCTATTTAGCGTCTTTTTTCTCATCTCTTGGTAAGCTTTCATGTGTATGAAAGTAAGCTGAGTATTTTTTACTTCTGGTAAAGTGATTTCGTTGGTGATAATCTGGTATTCGGACGAATTTACTCCAAAGGACGTTCCAGATACGAATCGATAGAGTTTGAGCATCCTTCCCTCTTTCAGTCAGGTTGTACCAACTCGTCATATGTTCAGCAAAAACTAGTAGGGCCGATGGCTACAAACTTTTTTCACAGGGAGGAATAAACCTGTGCTTGTCTGCAAATTCTCGGTAAGCTACATAGTAACAGGGCGCAAAAGTCCAAAACAGTATTGCTTAATTTGGTATGTATACCACAGATGCTTTGAAAGCTACAGGGCGGAGAAACCAAACTCAAATAGCACGGGATAGGCTAAAAGGCATGGCAGGGATTTGCAACGATGTTCTTCACTTTGAGCTTAATTGGAGTGGTGTAAGCAAACACGATGTTCATATACTCTAAACGTTCCAGAAAAAGTACGGGCATCAGAGGGACCATTGTCTTCCGGTCACCAAAAATTAAACCTGATTCAGCATTGATTAACAGTACATGAGTTGAGACACAAATATTAGGACAAGTAAGTTGATTGAAGCCAAAACATGTTCAGTTCTTTTGGATGAAACAGATGATATTATATGTGGTTGGTCTTAAACGTACCTTCTGCTTTTTTCTAATTATTGTCAGGCATCCCATCCAGTAAAATTTTAGAGAAGTCATTTTATTGCTCCTGAAATTTATGGAGGAAATGCGCAATGTCCTTGTTGCTGGACTTTTGGTTCTGTGCATCTCCTCCTAGCCCCTGATTCCAAATGAATGACCAGTATGTAGGGTTGAGCCGAAATACTGATCAGTTGCAAGCATCGGAATAGGTGGTTCTATATCACACTACTCCAAACAACTTCAGTATACGAAGACCTCATCCGCCAGGCACCAGTAAACACGAGTCATAAGGTAGCCCTTTTTCTGCAAATTGCCCTTAAAAAACAACAGTCTTGGTTTGATTTTACGGAACCCCCCCCCCCGCAGACATTCAGCATCTACCAATGCTGGATACTGAATGATCAAAATATTTTTCTTTTGAACCAATATACCAATGATCCTTACCACTAGCTTGAAGGAGGTGAGAGTGAGTAACTGAAATTTTGTTTGAGGACGGGTGTACATATGCAAATGTTATTACCTAAAAGACTGCAATCACGTTTGGCCGCACGGTGAAATTCAGTAGTCGTAACTATCAAGCCGTATAATTGTGACCAAGCAGAGTCCTTCTTTGTTCTGGAGTGCTTCTGCGTGCGGTCAGCATATCATCTGTATCCATTGCTGCTGGCAGGTACAAGAGCACACTAAAAAAACAGCACCAATGAGATTAACAGCGGCCAACTCGAACCGCGAAACATTTCAGCACTAAAGTTAAGAATATAACACAGGAGGCGTTTAGTTCGCACGCTTCCCGGTAGAAGACTTCAATTTCTTCTGAAATATTACAAGCATTGAGGACTAAGGAGTTGCTCTGAAATTGTCAAGGTTCAGATTTTTTTATCAAACTTTCACGCGTTGTCGGTTCCTTTTCACCGAGCTATGGGAGGATCATTTTATTGACAACTACAAATGTATTATTGTCGTATTTTGTCAATACGAAGCCTTTTTGCATGTTTTTAAATTCAAAATACAGTTATTTCTTCGTCGCACCTTCAAGCATAGGAGATGGGCCAAAAACGGAACAGATGAAACTGCGCTTGATCAGCTTTAATCGTTTCTGATTGTTACAATAGTGTAAATGATTTTGAGTGTCGCTTTTGTACTAACAAACTCTGCTGGCTGTGACCTCTCTCGAGACCAGTTGTTGCAGACCGCAAGTGCAGATTGTCACAACAGGTGTCAGTGGTATGCATTTCGAACTTGGTTCTTTTGACAGTACCATCTTCGCCTACTGACCGGACGAAAGCTCTCGTAGACCGCTGTGGCGGAAGCCGCACGTGCGTGTGTAGGTTATCCAATTTCAATTCGCATTAGTTTAAGAAAGACTTACCGAACCAATAGTAACGTCCAAAAACTGAATTTATTACAGACACTAGTAGCTATGTTCCATAAATCTTGCTTCGAAATTACCTTTAGTGCAGAGTAACTTTGCATTCGTTTTGTATAACTGACAGGAACTGGTTTTAGGTGATTTGTGAATATTGGTTTCTTGGTATTGTGGCCAAAAGGACGGTTTAAACATGCATGGGCTTAGAATTGTGTTTGCACACTTTCAACGTGCGAATAGGGTTTGACCTTCACACATCATGAGTTGTACAAATGTATGCAAACCACCGGGGCATATACAAATGCACAGATTCATGCTCACCCACAGTTTGCAACGTACCTAGTGAGTTCATTCCCCCTTCAGCATAATGGATTATCCCACCATTTAGGGTTGATAGTTCTACACGTAGCTGTGTGTTGGTGAGTCGCGGGAATATGCAGCAAAAACCTCAGTGTTTTTCAGTTCTTCTACGTCTGTCACATGTAATTTCCAGATTTCTTCTGACGATCTTCTAAGAAAATGGCAAGAACTTCTGGACAGAAATGAGATGAAATGATCTGGCATGAAATTAGGCTTATGGACTGGTCTCACTCAGGACTAGTTCACCGTTAAAAGTTTGTACATGCCTTTAAAGTATTTGCTATGCTTTGTAAAATGACTTCCAACACTGGGTCCTTCGGATTTGATGTCTTTATTTGCTAACATTATTTGCTACCAGAAATGACTTTGGTCAGTTGTATCGAGGGGCAAATTTTTCTGTTGTTTCAGGGTTAGGTACTGCGTGAATACATCTTATCTCAGTGCAGTACTGCGGTGCTTGTGTCAAACAAAGTCCTGTTAGGTGGTTCTTCAGTTTATTAACACCTGTTTTGACTATTCGCATGAAAACACAAGAAGGGATCTTGCTAGAAAGCGAGTCACAAAATTTCAGTTGTTTATAACTTAGTAGCCACCTATCTCACGCTGTTTTTCTAGTGTTAAAGTTCTACTGGGGATGAATTTGAGCAATTTTGTTGATAGTGTGAGGAGATTTGGGAACTTACAGTGGTGTAAAGTAAACCTATATTGAAAAGCCAGAAGCACTCTACTGATGTTTCATTGTTATTGGGAATTGTCAGCGGTGCGCATTTCACGAAACTCCAGAGAGTCCTGTACGAGAGATCTCCCGGTTGGTATCTCAAGCAGTTATCGTTCAGCAACGACTGCCTAATCGGTAGTGTGATTAGCTCGCACCCATATAGTTTCTAGTTTTTAGTCAGTATTTCTCTCTGCATCCAGCTTCCACCTTGGCAATGATCATCAATACACACGCATAATCTTAGTAGCCAACTGGTGACACGGCGACCGTGCCTAACTTAGGTAACATTTGATCGTTCCGTGAGCCAAACTGTCAGTTCGACGGTGGTTTTCAGCATTCGGCTGGTCCAAGTCGCGCGAAGCCATCAACCCTATGGATGATTCCCGCCCCATATATCGCCTACAGATTACTCTTTGTATGCATTACTTTTGTAACAGTTTTCGCCTTGCACAAATGGTTGAAACTAAAAAGTGGTTACTTGAAGGACAAAAAGCCAACTGGAACAGTCGAATCCCTCATTTATGTTGATCCGCATTAAACGAATATGCTGAACCAGGCCACCTCCTGTTTCAGTTGGTGCAATATTCGAGAGAGCTGTTGGCTAGATGCGAGATACTCTCCATAAGGGCTCGGAGTAACCTCATGAATGTTTTTTTCCACAAAAATAATGAAACGGAACAAATAGTGTAGCTGACTACTTCATAATCGCCATTCGTTAAAGCGACTCAAAGCGAAGTACACTGATTAACCTGACTGGTACGTTATAAAACATTTATTTCAAGGTGAAAGGCTGCATCAAGTGTTTTAAATTGTTTTTTTATTTACAGAGGATTGACCGTTATAGAATTTTCTTCGCTTTACAAAACATGAACCCTGAACACTATCATAAGGAGTTGGGCGAAATTACACATCTGCCTAAAATGGGTAACTTGGATAATTTGAGACACAATCCTTGAGGTCGAAATTTATAATAAAATGGATGTGACGCACAACAGCCGATGTGTAAGAAAAAATCCACCCTCAGATTAGGCACAAAATTCTTTCGACAGGGAACTAGAGAGCTGTGGCTAGATGCGAGATACTCTCCATAAGGGCTCGGAGTAACCTCATGAATGTTTTTTCCACAAAAATAATGAAACGGAACAAATAGTGTAGCTGACTACTTCATAATCGCCATTCGTTAAAGCGACTCAAAGCGAAGTACACTGATTAACCTGACTGGTACGTTATAAAACATTTATTTCAAGGTGAAAGGCTGCATCAAGTGTTTTAAATTGTTTTTTTATTTACAGAGGATTGACCGTTATAGAATTTTCTTCGCTTTACAAAACATGAACCCTGAACACTATCATAAGGAGTTGGGCGAAATTACACATCTGCCTAAAATGGGTAACTTGGATAATTTGAGACACAATCCTTGAGGTCGAAATTTATAATAAAATGGATGTGACGCACAACAGCCGATGTGTAAGAAAAAATCCACCCTCAGATTAGGCACAAAATTCTTTCGACAGGGAACTTAGCCATTCTTTGTGACGAAATTCAAGATGACATATCTAGGGATTGTAACGAAGCGCAACTGCATTCTCCAACGAGAAGGAACGAAATGTGTAACAGTTGGATAGTTTTTATTCCCCCAAATTTTGTATTTCGTTCCAGAATCGTATATTCTGTACCAGGCAAACCGATATGCAGTTATGTCGCCATGGGGGGACGTCATATTAGGCTCCTTCTAAGGTAGTATGAATTTTCAACCGAAGGGT